GAGAGAGAGAGAGAGAGAGAGAGAGAGAGAGAGAGAGAGAGAGAGAGAGAGAGAGAGAGAGAGAGAGAGAGAGAGAGAGGAGTGGGAGGAAAGGAAAGGAGTGGGAGGAGGAAAAAAGGGGTGTGGACTGTTTGGACAGTTTTGATATGTAGGGACTCAAAGATGCAAGGTATGATGTAGTCGAGGGTTGAAAATAAGTGAAGATGATGACAATGACGAAGTCGAGGATGATCACAGCTGCGGTTGACTCCATTTCAGAGGAGAATTTGTCGACGCATTCGTTTGGTTTTCTGCTTTGTTTACAGATTGATTGCCTTGGCGTCGCGTCAGTGGTCATTATCTACAGCGAAAGCGATGTAGACTGCAGCGCACAGGAGAACGTATCCCATTGTGACGGTATTCGTCCAAGATGAGAAACTGGAGGAGGGACATGGTGGGGGGAAAAAAAGGAAGGAGGGGAAGAGGGGAGGCATAGGAGAAAGGGAGGTAATTGTGTTTGTAAAAAGGTAGATAGAAGATAGATAGAGAAAAGGAAAGAACAGAAAAAAAACAAGAAGTTGAGAATAGAACGGCACAAGAAGGAGAAGAAAAACAGGAAGGAAGAAAGAAGTCAAAGAAGAGAAAAGAAGAGGATGATTGATGATGATGATGATGATGATGATGATGATGATGATGTGATGATGCGATATTGTGATGATATGATGATGATCGGATGATGACGGTGTGCCCAAGGAAGCTTGCGAAGATGTGTCATTGTCACCGCTGAGGCCGCTGATGTGTGTAATGTACAGCAGAAATTCAGTTGAGTGAGAGGGGGTTGTTGTTATGGTTGTGTTCGGAGATTTAGTTGCTTTGTAGCTGTGGTTGTAGTCGATTACGTGGGACCGTAGTCCATATTACACGAGGACTAAGAGAGGCTGCAGTCCATTTCATCTCACCTAGTCCTCTCTGATAGTGTGCAGACGGAGAGCAGAGTACAAGAGGAGGAGGAGCAGAGAGGAGAAGATGGGATGGGTTTTAAGTAACCTTCCAAGTCACGTATCTTTCAGTATTCTCGTCTTCGTCTTCCTCTTCCTCTTCCTCTCCCTCTTCTTCTCTATCTTACTCTTCTTCTTCATTGCTGTGGTCGTTTTTGTCTTCTTCTTTTTCTTCTTCTTCTTCTTCTTCTTCTTCTTCTTCTTCTTCTTCTTCTTCTTCTTCTTCTTCTTCTTCTTCCTCCTCTTCCTTTTCCTGTTCCTCCTTTTCCTCTCCTCTTCCTCCTCCTCCTCCTCCTCCTCCTCCTCCTCCTCCTCTTCCTCCCCCCTCCTTTTCTCCTCCTCCTCCTCCTCCTCCTTTTCTCCTCCTCCTCTTCCTCCTCCTCTTCCTCCCCCCTCCTTTTCTCCTCCTCCTCCTCCTCCTCCTTTTCTCCTCTTCCTCCTTCCTCCTCCTCTTCCTCCCCCTCTTCCTCCTCCTTCCTTCTCCTCCTCCTCCTCCTCCTCGCCCTCGTCCTCCTTCCTCCCCTCCTCTTCCTCTTCCTCTTCCTCTTCCTCTTCCTCTTCTTCTTAGGATGAATGGTAATGATTATAACAACAGTGATGATGACAAATTTCGACGATGATAATGATGGAAGTTACTATCTCAATGATGATGCTGGCACTTGCTGGTTCATTCGGTTTTTGCCAAGCCGATAATCGGCCACCAATTTCGTAGTGGCTGGCAGACGTCGGCTTGACAGCAGCATGAATGGGAAGGGTTTGTGGTTGTGGGGAACGTTCACAGCTGCTGTTTCATACGCAACGGTAGTCGTATTTGAGGATGAAGGCTCTGCGTCTACTTTCATCAGGGCTGTTGCTTGAACATGTGCAGTGTGCAGGGGAGAGAGAATGTGGAGGGGGAGGAGGAAGGAAGCAGAGTGTAGTAGTGCAAGGGAGGAACAGAGAGGAAAAGAAGGGCTCAAGGAGAGTCACGACTGGTGCATTTTCGTGCTCGACTAACCTATTATAATTCAACCTTCATGGTTAGTGACCTACAGGTCTCACAGCTATGAAGCTGTCTCCTACTACCACTACTACTACACTTCCTCTTTTCTCCATTTATTCCTCCTCTTCATTCTCCTCTTTGCCCTCCTCTTCCTCCTTCTCCTCCTCCTCCTCCTCCTCCTCCTCCTCCTCCCTCCTTTTTCCTCCTCCCTCCTTCCTCCTCCTCCCCCTCCGCAAAGACTCCCATGGGCTCATCAGCAGAGTTGCTCCATTGCCTCCTCCTCCTCCTCCTCCTCTTCCTCCTCCTCCTCCTCCTCCTCCTCCTCCAGCATGGCACACAGGCATTGAATGTGGCACCCAAATCTCACAGTGGCATGGTACGCAAGTCTAAAAGAAGCATTCCCAGGGCACCTCAGGGCCTGTGCTTTGCCAATTTTGTTCTCCTGTTGCCCCCTGCTGGCAGGTCTTGAGTCATACATCAAATAATATCAACACACATCCACATCCAATGGGGCATTATATGAGGGTGGCAGCTTTTTCTTTATCTTTTCTATTTTCAATGTCCACTTTTATCCTTCTGCCGCTACTCAGGTTTGTGTCTCTTCCCGGTGATTCAGCTGCATCTGTCGTCGTCGTCTTTGAGCAGGAACAGAAACCATGCAGATGCCTTTTTTTTTTTTTTTTTTTTTCCCTTATGGACACAGATGGCGTTCCATCTCTTCTGCATCTCCTTTTAGATTGGCGCTCATAATTTCTCTATATCTACTCTCCCATCCGGTGACCAGTCCTCGCCCCCTCTTCACCCCCTCTTCGCCCCTTCCTCGCCCCCTATGTCTATGATTCTTCGCCCCCTCTTCGCCCCTTCTTCCCTGGCTTCCGCTGTGCCTGACGAAGGTGAGTTCATCCTCTTGGACATGAACTTGGTCGGAGGCCGCATAGCCGCATAGCCGCATAGCCGCATAGCCGCATAGCCGCAACACTACCAAGGTCTGCCCGGTCTCTGAAGGTCGTACGTCTTCTTTCCACCTAAAAAATTCTCCAGGGCGGGCTGCTCCTTTTCTGTTTCAAGTATGCTCTCTCTCTCTCTCTCTCTCTCTCTCTCTCTCTCTCTCTCTCTCTCTCTCTCTCTCTCTCTCTCTCTCTCTGTGTGTGTGTGTGTGTGTAGAGAGAACTCTCTGTGTAGAGAGAACAAAAACACCAAATAATTGCAAGTCATGATGACATATGACAGGCGCAGACGTCAAATGAGCATCGCACTGACGTCTCATCACATGGCTCTGCCATTGGATGAATGACAACCAAGCACTTTTTTTTTTTTCCTTTCGTTTTCTTTTTCTTTTTTTTTTTTCTTTTTTTTTTTTTTCTTTTCTTTTCTTTTCTTTTCTTTTCTTTTCCTCTTTTTTTTCTTTTTTTTTTAATAAAGGCGACGTCTTTGAGATATTGTCATTGAATTGACCAGCTCCAGCTAATTCAGAAGGATTTTACTTTGGTTATCTGATTGCATCAGGATTCGAACGCGGGTGTGTATTTCAGCAGTTTTAGACTTTGGGTGTACCAACAGAGCTAGGCCCATTGGTGGAGCGCATTCCTTTCTCTTTACTTTCTGGGGTATAATGGGCCTCGGTCTACTACACAACGCTCTATATGTACCTGGACTTCTCGTGAGTTCAGATACATTTGAAATGTTGGGCTTCTTCAAATGCACCTGGACCAGAAAGGCATCCAAATGCATGTAGAATGTTGAGCCGCGGAGGGAGGCCCAATGAGTGTTTTCCTTGTTGGTGATGTGGAAGCCGGTGATTGGACAAGTCTCAAGAAAGCCTCAGATGAAGTTTCAGAGAGCTGTCTTTGCTACTGTTCCCTAGGCAACAGAGCTGTCTTTGCAATATGTCATGATTTTCCTGTTGGGGGGGGAAATGATTCTCTTGCAAATTGCAATTTTGTCTCTGCCCCCCCCCCCCCCCCCCCCCCCCCCCTCCCCTCCTGCCAGTCCCCCAGCAACAGGGAAAGGGAAATGAAGCCCTGCATGTAGCTGAATGGGATCGGTGTGCGATTGATGATGAAGGAGATTGTGAATTTGATTCCCAAGTAAGTCACATGCATGCAATAATGTGCAGCCGAAGGGCCTATTCTCTTAGGAAAAATATGCAGGCGAAGAACAAGGCTCACCACCTACTAGTGTACATGTGTGAGCCTCTTTTTGCCGAGCCGGATTTCCCCTGCGCGCGCTGAGCTTTGCCAAAACGCAAGACGCGGCTCTGTTTCTTTTCTATTGGCTGGCGGTGCCAGCAGCCCTTTTGGTCCCGTAGGCCTGAGCGCTGAGCCCCTTTGCTCCCGTAGGCCTGAGCGCTGAGCCCCTTTGGTCCCGTAGGCCCGAGCTCTGAGCCCCTGCGGGCTGAGCTTCAGGTTGGATAAGAATTCACGCACTCTCCTATAGTAAGGATGGTACCCGAATGAAGAAAAGAAAAAAAAAAAAGGAAAAAAAAGGATGGTACCTAAATATGTGTGTAGTGGTCACAGGCTGTGCATGGTGATCTGTTTAAACTTTAAACCGCCAGTTCAACCGAAGCAGAGTGCAAGTAGCTAAAAGGGAATTGAAAAAAAAAAAAGAGTAGAACTTTACAGTTATATGCGGTAAGAGCCCCCTTTTTTTTTTCTTTTTTTTTTTTAATTCGGTAAGAGCTTTTTCAATTCTGGCCTGGGATGGTAGCGAAAGCGGGAGGCCACTTTGGAAAGGAGCAGTGGCAGGGTAACGAAGAATAGAAAAGAGGAAATTAACTCTTTTTTTTTTTTTTTTTTTGAAAGGCTAATTCTTTGAAGCCCAACCAATTCAATTACCTGTCAAAACTGGACAGGACGGCCTTTCAGGCCTTTTTTTTTTATTGTCATTATAGTATTACGGGGAACCCCGTAGCAGCCAGGCTCGTGTGAAGTGGGAATTTGTAGATGCAGAAAGGTCTGCGTGCAGTCTTCAGTGGCATTTTTGGTATTTTACTAGTTTGTCTTTTTGATTCACCCCGCCCCCAATCAGGAACGATCTTTTTTTTTTTCTTTTTTTTTTTTTCCAATAAGAAACTGCACCTCAGGCAGTCCCTGACAGTAATACAAGCTTCTTTTTTTTTTTCTTTTTTTTTTTTCACAGTAATACAAGCTTGTAAGTGTGGATAGGCAAATGATGAATTCAAATCCGTTCCCAAAAAAAAAAAAAAATCCTTCCCAAAAAAAGAAAAGAAAGGTGTGAATTTACTGGGCTCAATACAATAAAGCTAAAGGTTACTACCCCCACAGGGAAAAAAAAAAAAAAAAAGAACGACGAAAGGGGATAAAAACGGCCAATCTTGTTTCTCAGGACGGGGCTGCCACTAGCAAGGTCACACCATGGATGAAAAAGAAGCGGGGTGCTCCTTTTTTTGGCGTAATTTCCTTGCCCCTTCAAAGCGACTAAGTAAGCCAGGCATAAGGTCTGTGTGTTTGAAGTTGGTGACGAGCGCCAACGCTGACGATGAGTGGAAACGGATGGTTGTCAGACGTATGCGAGTGGTCTGGTTGAAGAACAGAAGTGCGGGAGACTTGATTTTTAATCTTAGAATGATTGTGAGAGAGGTGAGGACAAATTGCACTTGCGCATGTTTGTCTGAAAAGTTCCCACGGATAGATGGACATGCATGTTTCCGGTTGAAGGATTGGGAGGGGGGGGGGAAAAAAAGGGAAAAAAAAAGGGAAAAAAAAAGGAAAAAAAAGGCAAAAAAAAAAAAAAAAAAGGAAGCTCCTTGTTGGTTGAAAAACAGTAGAAACATTGTAAGGCCGTCTAGAAGTGGTGTGCTGGGCCGACTGAGGAAACAGATATCGGCCTCCATGAACGAATTGGATTTCGAGATCCCACGGATACGACAAGGGGAGATGTCCGGATGTGTGGTTGGCACCGCGCGGGCGATCTCAAGTTGTACGGGGGATGAGGTGATGGGGTGGTTGGCGGAATTGGATGGGTCGGTGCGAGTGACCACAATGCTGGTCCTACTTTCCCAGAATCACCACATCGCTTCTCAACATGCGTCCGGGATTGAACTTATTTTGAACGAACTGGAGGAATGTTTGTTGTCCAGTTCATTACCAGGAAGGTATGGACAAGTTGTTCTGCTGCAATGTGGGACTAACAAAGATGGACGAGGGGGAGGGATCATTTGTTGGCTGAGGCGAAAAAGAAGTATGTTCAAAATGGTTTGCAGAAGCTGTTCAAAATGGTTTGCAGAAGCTGGCGAAGTGTTCAAAAAGGATTGGCAAAGCCTATGTGATCCCTAAGCACAAGGATGTGCAAAAGCGGAGGCCCATTTGTCCATCCTTTTCTGAATGTAGTGTGCGAGCTTGTAGAAAAGTCTCGCGAGCTGTTAATTTGTTGATATGGGAACTGCCGAAGAAATCGAATGTTAATTTGAAGTGTACAGACTTGTTGGTCGATTCTTTGAACGAGATCAATAAGAGCGCGAAGAAGGGTGAGGCGTTGCTGACCAGGGCGTTTGATGTCAAAGAAATGTTTTGTAACTTACCCCACAATTCTATCATGAACGCTTTGGAATGGGTGATGGATTTTTGAAAAACGAAAGGGGTTAAAGGAGTTCTTCTTAGGAATCGCGGAAAGGAGGCCAAACTGCTGAATGGGAAGAAACAGGAAGGATGGGAATCAGTTGATTTTGAGGTTATCAAAAGTTCTGTCTCATTCGAGTTGAACCATACCTTTATTCGAGCGAGTGGCATGATATTCAAACAAGGGGTTAGGGATTCCGATGGGTAAGCCATCAAGCCCCGCTATAGCCTGTCTGCTGTGTGTTTTTTTCGGAGATTTCCTTTCTGGCATCACTAGGGAAGGATCGACAACGAGTGAATGGTTTTAGGCTTATTGACGACATCTCTGTCTTCATTAAGTATTGGATCGGCGATAAGGATTCTCTGCGGAAGGCGGCCGAAATTCTGACGGCGTTTGAAAATTGTTATGACAAGAACTTGACTCTTGAGTGTACATGTACGTCTGACCGCTGGGATTTTTTGGGATGTACCATTCAAAATTTTGGATGGCCAATAGGAGTGAGATGTGCGGCTGTTCACAAGAATCAGAGAATGATCATGGTTAAGGGTCTATGTTTTCAAAGCCTGCAAGACAACTGTTCCTATGTTAGTAAAAAACAGAAGATGGTTGTGGTCGGTTCGTTTATGCACCGAGCGAAAAGATTTATGAGTACTCCGGCTGCTGAAGTTGCCTTCGAACTACATCCTCTTTTACTTTCTTTGGAAGGAATTGGGCCCCATCCCGGAATATTACCGTCACCGTCCTTTCTTTAAGCCATTTAACTTTTAACTCGTCGAGGGAAGTGTTCAAGATAAACTTCACCTCTCTGCCCGTCACCTCCATCACGCCTGGGTCGATGTTGGTTGGCAAAATCCCCTCCTCATAACAGGCTCGTATCATCTCCCGAGTTCTTTCTTCCTCCATTCGAGAGTCACTTGGAACTTGGGCACGGCCATCCCCATCAGGTTGACCTTCAGCTTGACCTTGTTCTACTTCCGTAGTGGAGAAGGACTTCAGCAGCACCTCATATCAAAACCTTCTATCTTCGAAGGGTAGTCTTTGTTGACAACAATCTGGTTTAACAACTAGAAAGAGGGGAGGGACGCGGTCGGGACAAATCTAACCGCTGGCACCATGCACTATGGCAATCGCCATAGACTATCGAGGAATCGACAGTATTGAGGTGTCACCCACGGCCGGAATTCCACGCCGGAATCCCCCGCCGCCGGTTAGGCTTGCCGTGGCAAGTGATGCTAGGGCCGAGCGCTGCTGCGCCAACCGTAGCGCCTTTCGCGACCCCCTCCCCTCCGGTTCGCCAATAATCGACCGTCCCAAGCACCAAGCCTAATATCTGATCTGTGGTCCATTAGAGACACACACAAAAAAAAAAGAATCGAGCGACGCACTTAGCGCCAACCAGCGGTGATAGTCCGGTTGATACTTCTGATCGGTATTAGCAGGGGGCTTGGCCAACACTTGATATCTCTGATGGGTATTAGCAGGGTCCTTGGCCAACACGGGTGCGAGTGTGAGTGGGTTGTGTGTGGTGTGTGGGAGAGTGTTGGCCTTGATTGCAGTCAGATGCATCCAGGAAGGGCCGTAACCGCGGTCAGATGCATTTAATTTAAAATACAGCAAGTGTGAGTTTCTGCAGATAAAAATTATAATAAACAAAAACAAAAGAAGAAGCAGGCATGAAATGGGTTGGTTTCACGGGTGTGAGTGAGAGTGAGTGCGAGGGGGTTGTGTGTGGTGTGTGGCAGAGTGTTGGCCTTAGACACTGCTGTTATTCGGTTGGGGGTGGGGGCCGATGAAAAAGGGAGGCGCAGCTACTGGCAAAATGCTCGGTCTGAAAAAAAAAAAAAAAGCAAAAAAAAAGCAAAAAAAAGAACCTCGGTCTGTGTTCCTATATTATTTTAAAAATATAAAAAAATAAAATAAAAAATGCTCGGTCTTTGCGTTAGCCTGACCCCCACCGGAGGCCCCACCCCATCGGGGGGGGGGGTGCAACATGCATCCCCCTCTGATGGGGGGCTGGAGGGAGACAACAAAGCTATGTTGGCAGGGGTCCACTGTATAAGTAAGCCTTAGGAGCGGTAGTGGTAGGTAGGTAGCGAAGGTGAATTGAAATTGAAAGAATTTGAAAGATGATGACAGATTTGAGAGAAGAATATAGCGTAGTTTTATAAATATTAAGGAAAATTTTTTGAATTCGAAATGCCCCCAAAGTTTGCGTTTATTTGCGGCGTGCCCCTGTAAAGGCCGACTCACCCTGTGGTGCCCCTCTCTGAAATTTTCTGCAGGCCCCTGTCAGCATGGGCCATAATTTTCCGATATGCCCTTACTGGACCGCTGGTGGCGTTTCGTCGGTCGGTCCTTGAAATGCCCTCACGAGGGGCACACATCTTTCTGTGATGCCCTTGCAGCAGTGGTGGCAGGAATTTGAATTCAATGTGGTAGCCATTCCACCGAAAACCGGTCTGTATGTGTGTGTGTGTGTGTGTGTGTGTGTGTGTGTGTGTGTGTGTGTGTGTGCGCGCGTGTGTGTATATGTGTGTTGTGTGC